ACATGTTAAAAATTTCTGCAATACTTTTATGAATTAAGCAATTTTTAAATATTGTTAAAATGTTTTATTGACTACAAAGTATTGTAAATATAAATCGATCCATCTTCAAATGGGACAATATTGTAAACTTTACCTGTTTAGTGATACAGACAAAATGTTTTTGATATACAGGAATGTTAAAGGTCTATTGACTTTCTACTGGTGCTGAATAGCATTAAGTTTGGTTTCTCCTCCCTTCCCTTTTCTTTCAAACAATAATTCACTAAAGGTGGGGGGAGAAAGAGTTACCTGTGCATTCACTAATTGTACACTAATTGTAATGAACATTTTTTGAAAGATATACATTTGTTGTATAATGCATGTTTATTTTTAGCGTTGTGTTATTGCATCTGGTGTTAATAAAATGAACAAATTACTCTAATAGAGGCAATTAAAGAAACTGAAATGTTCTGCTAAATACCAAAATTCTGGGTAGGCTTTTTTGTATATAAGTACTGACTTTGTATTATTTGAAATGAATATAGCAATAATAGTTTATAATGAAGTGATTTGGCATTTGATATGGTTTGTTGTACAATACAATCTTTGTAGTAATTTTTTTCTCTCTACAGCTCCCAAGGTGCTCAGATGAGCATCTACAGTTCAGTGACATGCACATTTGAGAGGGTATTTTATTAGAACTGTGTTGGGCAAGTCCTTATGACACAAAGATTACTGAAATACATTCCCACTATAACAATGTCTACCTTTATTAATAACTTTTATGATGGTGCTACTAAGTTTTAAATACTTAAATTACGTTCTGACATCTCAACTGTCTTATTTAACAGTAGTATAGTAGTCAGCTAGTGGCTAAATTTTGAATATCAGTTGAGGAAGGGAGATACACAGAATTTCCCTTGGTTCACAGGGAGGAAGGTCAGCTGCTCTTAGTGTATAAGCATTTGGATGTTTCTGTCACTAGTGAAAAATATGTGTCTTGCTGCATCTGTCTGAAAATCCGGAAGTGTAAAGTGTGCTTTTGTGATGAGCAAAGCAGAAATATCCTGGCAGAAATAACCATTTTATTTATTTTTAATAGTAGATCCTGACTAGTTAAGGAGGTTTGAATTTGCTTTGTGCTTTGAGGAAAATGGGTGGTGCAGGAATGAAATCATGTGGTATTTGCATCTAAGTTTTATCAAGCAACAGGGAAAATTAAGAGAACATTAAATTCATTTCTCTTGCCTAATTTGTATTGCCCACTGCAGCCCACATGTGGTCTGGTACCCCTCTCAGAGCTGCAGCTGTTTGACATCTCCAAGTCCCAAAGGAATGTGTTGTAAGAAAGTAATGACCCAGACATGTCCTGAAAGCATATGAAGTCCATATTTGCACTTGCAGACCTTCACAGTTGCAGTTGCTCTCTGAACAACACATGCAGTCTTGGATATTTTGGACAACTGCACATGTGTTGCATAGCACACTCCCCCTACTCCCACATATTTCTATTTACTGGATGGGAATATGGACTCATACATAATTCAGTGTCATTTGATGCAGTAGCAGCTATGAAGTGTTCCATCTCGCCCCTCTTCTGCTTGAATGAAGGCTTCATCTTCCTGTAGTGATGGTGACCTCTGCTTTATGTAGGTATCCAACAGCAGCTTGAAAGAGAATTATGCTACTTACAGAATGAGAGATAAAAATTAAGGTCTTAACATTCCTTTAGATAGCTTCCAGTCTCATACTCCCTGAAGGCAGTAGCTGCTGCTGTTACTTCACAAAGCTCTCAGCAATATTATTAGGAGGTCACTGCATAAAATGAGCGTCAGAACTCTTGTTTGCATGTAGTGTATATAAAGAAATTCAGTGGTTTGTGTTTGAATCTTCCATCAAAATCAAGCTTTCTGATCCCACAAATCTAGCAGTGGCTGCTACTTGTAAGAACTCATGTTTTACTGTGGAAATCACCAGGCTTTGCTGCAGAGCCAAGAGATTTCATTATGGAAAACAAAACAGCTTTCATTCCAAGTCAGTCTTGTTTGCACGGTCCTGACCAGGTGTGGTACTGGATAACCAAGCTTCTTGAGTTGGTAAAGGGGAATAGGAATCATTTAGGCAAAGTCAGCACACTTGCTGCCTGGCTAACCTGCCTTCTGCTCTGCTGAACTGACCTGCTGCAGAGTTTGTGCTAGCACCAAGTCTTTTATTCTTGGCTTTTTAGAACAGCAAAGCAAAATACAGTATCGTTTGAGTCTTCCTGGCAAGGCAAGCTGCAGTGTAAGAGAGAAATGATCAGTAAACAGAGGCAGGGAAACAGAAAACATAGCATTGAATCATAAAGTAAAAAATTCCTGTGGCATGTGCTACGTTTGTATTTACCAGTTTTCACGCTTACTATCTTTCAGCCACAAGATCTAGAAATACATAATTCAGGAGCAAGAAGTGAATTTTGCATTTTTACAGCGATACAATAAATGTAGACTAGAAAAATATCTTGAAGACCTCAGCTTATTTTTAGAATCACAGAATGGTTTGGGTTGGAAAGGACCTTAAAGATCACCTAGTTCCAACCCCCTGGCATGGACACGGACACCTTCCACTACACCAGGTTGCTCTAAGCCCTATCCCGCATGGCCTTGAACACTGCCAGGGATGGGGCATCCACAACTGTGGGGAACCTGTTCCAGTGTCTCACCACCCTCATGGCAAAGAATTTCTTCCTAATGTCTGATCTGAACCTACCCTATTTCAGTTTAAAGCCATTCTCCCTTGTCCTGTGACTACATGCCCTTGAAAAAAGTCCCTCTGCAGCTTTCCTGTAGGCAAGGTAGTGGAAGGCTGCCATAAAGTCTCTCCAGAGCCTTCTCTTTTCCAGGCTGAACAGCCCCAGCTCTCAGCATGTCTTCATAGGAGAGGTGCTCCAGCCCTCTCATCATATTCATGGCCCTCTGGACTTGAGTAGGTCCATGTACTTCCTATGATGAGGACACCAGAGCTGAATGCAGTTCTCCAGGTGGGGTCTCATGAGAGCAGATTAGAGGGGTGGAATAGCCTGTCTCAACCTGCTGATCATGCTCCCTTTTGATGTAGCTCAGGACATGGTTTCTGGGCTGTGAGCACACATTGCTGGCTCATGTTGAGCTTCTCATCAATTAACATGGCCAAGGCCTTCTCTTCAGGGCTGTTCTCAGTCAGTCTCTCCAACCTGTAGCTGTGCCTGGGATTGCTCCAACCCAGATGCAGGGCCTTGCACTTGGCATGGTTAATCTTCATGAGGCTGGCATCAGCCTATCCTCACAAGCGTGTCGAGGCCCCTCTGGATGGCATTCCTTCCTCCAGCGTATCAGCCAAAACTCACAGCTTGGTGTCATCGGCAAACTTGCTGAGGGCGCACTCAGTCCCACTGTCCATGTCAGTGACGAAGATGTTAAACAAGACCAGTCCCAACACCGATCCCTGAGGGACACTACTTGTTACTGGTCTCCAGTCAGACATTGAGCCACTGACCACAACTCTTTGCGTGCAGCCATCCAGCCAGTTCTTTATCCACCAAGTGGTCCATCCATCAAATTGATGTCTCCAATTTAGAGACAAGGATGTCATGCAGGATGGTGTGGAACAGTTCCTAGTTAATCTTACATTGCTGTTTCGTAACATTTGAGAGTATGTATAAGCATTATCTTTTGGACTGTGTTAAGCTGTTTAGGAACAGCTTAGGATTACCTGATACCTGCAGACAGCTTGGTATGCATGTTTTTAAGGTAAGGATTTCAGGACGGTTTTTACTGTATTGAGCACATACATAAATTCTTGAAGTTGGCACAGATGTTGGGTTTTTTCTTGCTGCTTTTGGCCAGGGGGTGTATTTTTTCTGCATGAACCACCAAAATTCCTCTTTCTGAAACAGAGGCACAGTATCTTGCTGTCAGAATAAAGAAGGGGGTTTCCTATTGTTTCTGGTCTCTAATGTCCAATTAACCATGCTATAAAAAGCTGATTGAGAAAATCTCACACATAAAGCAGGGTGTTAAATTCAGTCCCTTTCGGTGTGTAGGCAGTGCCAGATGTAGTGCAATAAACTCAAGGGAGTGTTGCTGCTGTTAATTTACCAAGGACATTCACTTTCTTAAACTCTAGATTTGAACACAAAATGCTGTTTTAGACTCCAAGAAGGGCTGAATGAAAGCTACCTTCTGCAGCTTAGTACCTGTGGACAGAGTGTTTTGAATTCTGTTCTATGGAAGAGCAAGAGAAGTTGGGAATGACAAAAAGCAAATGTTTCCATATTAAAAACAGTAACTGGAGAAAATTAACTGCAGCTCCAGCCCATGATTAACCTGTGTTACTTTTTCCAGGGGCAACTGAGAAGACTTGGTCTAAATGTTCTGGGTCGGCTTTTGGGTTTGGTTGCTGCTTTCTTCCTGGGAGGGTGATGATGCCTGTTGGAGTGCAGAAAAGCCACCAGCTGGGGCATAGGACAGAGAGAAAGTTTATTATTAAATTACTGCTATTCAAGTGGTTTTCTGGTAACTTTGATTATATTAAAATAATTACAGTATGTAAATAATTCTCTGGTAACTTTGAATTTATTTCAATGATTACATATTTATTTCCTCGTAACCTTTTTTCAACAATGATTTTAATTTTCATTTTATATATCTATATGCAGACGTTTGGGAAAAAATAGGTGCTTTCAGCCATAAACTATTGTACGGAAGAGACGAAGACGCCTTTGTTGCGGGTTTTGGGGGTGGCGGGAGTGGGGAAGGAGAGTTAGCTTATTTCCCGAGCATCTCCAGGAGCCAGGCGTTGCTTCCATCAAGCACTTGGATCCCCAGGCTCCGTTCCGCTCCGTTCATGGGAGACGGAGCGCGGCGCGGGGAAGACTGGTGGTCCAAGCTGCTTAAAACCACGCCGCTCCAAGCCACCGCCATCACCTCAACCGCCTTCCCCCCCCCAAGGCCGGCGAGCACCGCCTCCTGCTTCCGCATGCACATCGCGCCTGCGCCGTGCCTTCGTCGTCCCGCTCTTCCGGGTGTTTTGAGTCGGCGGAGCTATGGCTCTGCGAATGCTGCGCGGAGTGACCGGGGTAGCGAGTAAGAGGCGGGCGGAGGGCGGGAGGGGACGGCCTTTGCCGTTGAGGGGGTACTCAGCCTCTCCTCCCCTTCCTCACTTAGGGAGTTACGAGCGAGAGGCTGTGGGGTGATTACTGCCCGCGACTGTTGGCGCTGGGGCTGCTGAAGGGTGCCTAAGATGGCGGCGTGTGAGGGGGGACGTTCCCGATCCCCGCTTCTTCAGCCCACAGCTCCCTCCCCCTCTTATTCTGTTTTTTTTTTTTTTTTTCTACAGGATTTCTGTTTGGGGGTGGGGTTTTTTATTAATTCCAGATACTAATATTCTCCCCTATATTGCAAATCTATTGCTGCCCGGCGTCATTGTTCTGAAGGTTTTCTGTCGTTGCTACAAACTTTTAAACTCTAATAAAATACTAACGCGTGGTTTTATATTTGTAGAGTAGCTGGAGGGAACTTAACTGAGGCTTTGGAAGCTGGTCTGTGTCCTTTATGTGAGGAAATAGGTGATTTGTTCATGGAGAAACCCAGGCTGGAGGGCAAATAAGATAGCCTGTAGCCTGCCTAACAGTGTATGTCCCACATGCACACACATCTTAGGCTGTTCCAGAGCACTACAGCTCAGACCACTTCTCCATCCGGTTGAGACTTCTGTGATCTCTACCGATACAGTATTCCTGAAACAGACAGGAGGGGTGTGCAGAATGTTAGATGTCTTTATAGGCTCTATTTGGCCATCAGGTTCATGGCAGGATTTGGCTGGTGCTCCTCTCTTCACCCCGAGCATGCCCCGAGTGCCCAGCTCCTGCCACAGGGATGGCTTTGTTTTGATAAATTGTGATCTGAGGACCACTTGGAAAAACTGTATATTACAGGTGTTGGTTGTGCAGCAGCTTTAAAAACCTGCAATTCTCAACTTCTTTTTAAATTCAGGCATATAATAAATAAATTGGTTGGGTTTGTGATAGCTCATAAAGGATGAAGGAGTCAAAGATCTGCTTATAGAATGCTGTTTACTGACAGTAGATTGTTGCTGTCGCCTTTTTCAGAGGTACTTAATGCTGAACTTCTGTCACCTCTATGTCAAGAAAAATTTTGATCAACAATATCAAGCATTACAAATAGGAAAAGGGATTTTGCTGCTTCTCTGTTGACTGAGATCATCAGTTTCATATCAGTACCTTAACCTGACTTTTATTTGAACTTGGTCTAGAATATCAGCTATAGTTTAATTTTGTAGCTAGCTTCTCTTTCAGCTTGCTGAAGAATGACAAGATGCTTGGCAGGAGTAGAAAGTGCCCATGTTTGTGGAAGGAGTAGGTTCCTCACTGTTGATAGTCCATTATGTCATGCTTAAGGCAAGAAAAAGTTACTCATTCCAGGGATTGGCAGCAGTTGGCAGCATAGTACTGTTTATGTGACTGTACGGTTTAACCTTAAGGCTGTAGTATCTTAAGATGAATGAATATGCTGATTGTGGGAATACAAGTGGATTGTTAGTGGGTGTGTATATATAGGTGAGTCAGGTCCACACTGCTTGAGAAGGTTTCCTGATACAATCTCTTCAGCAAGGTATAATAATAGTTCTTGCAAGTACTTTGCACCAAGGCCGGTACAGGGAGCATTTCTGTTTGAGTCTTCCTTCTTAAGTCAGACCCCCTTTAGGCACTTCGATGTAGCTGAAATACTTTTAGAGGGTAGTTTATGTTCACTGCGGACATTTGGCTTTTTAACCAAATGAAGAAATAGAAGTCATTTTCAGTGATCTTTGTAAGTACTTGTTGGCTTCTTTATGACTCCTGAATTGTTTCTTGAATTTATTGGAATTACATTATTATCAGGGTGGTGAGACACTGGCACAGGTTGCCCAGAGAAGTTGTGACTGCCCCATCCCTGGCAGTGTTCAAGGCCAGGTTGGATGGGGCTTTGAGCAACCTGGTCTAGTGGAAGGTGTCCCTGCCCATGGCAGGGGAATTGGAACTAGATGATCTTTAATGTCACTCCCAACCCAAACTATTCTGTGATTTATGACTTGCAGTATTTGTGCACCTCCATTTTTATTCTACTTGTGAGAACTTTAGGTATGGATATTAATAGGTTTTCTCCTACATTTATGTTATAAAAGTAGGGCTTTAAAGGAAAGATGTTTATGTTTGTAATTAAAGCATTTGCATGCAGTTACATAATTTAACTTAAATGTACCGGAAGGTTGTCCTGCTTTTGACTACCAGCTGAACTCTTTTACCATCATAAGGGAAACCTGGCTATTCTCTACCAGCGTTCTGGAAAAGCTCTTACTGAGGGGACAGCGTTTTTATTTTTTAAAACTTTCTTTTGGGAAAGCAGAAGCTTTTTATGACTTCAGAGCTGCTGGAAATGAGCCAAGACCTGGAAATCGGCAGGTTTCTTGGGGGAGGTTAGGACTTTTCCAGGAAAACAGAATGTACTGGCCTATGCTAGCATAATTACTATTTAGAGTCTAAAATACAAGAAGATAACAGTGAAGATAAGTTTAAAATACACTGTTTATGTGAACACAACTCACACAGTTTTGCCTACATATGTTTCTAGGGCCAGAAATAATTATCGGTGCTGATTGCTTAGGTGTTTGTGAGTTGAATGTCAAACTAATATTTGGAGTTTGTTTTCCTTCCCTCTGCTCCCTGTTTCTCAAGTTTTCTGAGTTTTTCAGAGGTGCTCTGAACAGTATGACCCTCACACTGATGCTGCACATGTCCTTTTGTTTGATAGAGTTATCACTGTTGTGCAGTTCTCAGAGGAGCACCAGCTGTAAGACAGGAGGAAGATCGGAACCTGCTAAGCAGCCACTCAGGAAACCAAAGTTACCAGTAGGTCGATTTGATGAACCGGAGGAATTCAGTGTAGAGAAGGAACCCTTGGAAAGTAAGTCATATTTTACAAACTGCAAGGCGTGTTTTAAAAGCAGAACCTGAGGTGCAGTGCTGATGTTGGTTTCAGAAGAGGGATAGGCTTGCAGCACACTTCATATTCACTTGTTAAGCTTAATGGCTCTGAAAAAAAGAGGGGGCAGTGGGGCCAAGCTGCAGTAAATGGTGTATAAAGGAAAAAGTCTTCAGGACAAGGGTGGTGGAGCACTGTGACAGGCCACTGAGAAAAACTGTAATCCCTCTCCTCTTGTTGCTACTCAACTTTGAGCAAGGCTGGAGCCAGATGTCTGCCAAAGGTGCTTTCCACCATGAACCATGGCATGATTCCAAGTAATGTAGCTGGTATTGGTCTGTTACAGTACAGCTGTAAATTGTGGTGCTAGACTGATGAGGGCACCAGTTACTTTTTGTCATCCAAAAAGCCTGTTCTGTTTCTTAGTCCACAAAAGATTTCTGATTCATGCTGTATTTCATGGACAGCCATTCTCCTAGGTAGTGTTTTGGAAGGCAACAACAGATACTGAGTTGATTGAGCCACCAAGAGTGTCAGGGGAGACCTAATGAACTGCTGCTGTTCGTGTTGTGTTCCAGGGAGCTTAGTGGGGCTGCCTTTAGAGAACCTGACAAGATTGAAGTACATGTACATCGCTGCTGAAGTCACTGGAGACAATACTCTATTTTCATTAGAGAGGAGAAGAAAGAATCTCTTTCTTCCTTGGTTTTAATTACCCATATTCCCATATTTGTTGGGTTGACCCTGACCCAATACACCTCAACTAAAAGTGCTGTCATGCTTTGTCTTATTCACCACAATGTGATGTTCTGCTGCTGTTTGCTAGGAGTGATAACATATTTATCTATTTCGAGCCTCTTGGACAAGCTTTTTTAATACATAAGTAGATTACTGTGAATTACCAGATGACAAAATGACTGAAAAATTATAGTATCATCTCCAAAATAGTTGCAGTTTCACATTGTGACTCACTAGAGAACTGACTCAGAGTTGGAGTTACTGTGCAAGCAGCTATTTAATTTCTTGTCCTTTTATTCCCAAGAAGAAAAATGTCGCCACTGCTTCATTTAAAACAAATGCATAATCATTATATTTTGCTTTTTGCTTTGTTCTAGGTTTAGTACAAGACTCAAGGCTTATTTTGGCTTTAAATTTAGTTGTACCTGTATATTTTTCACATGTAATGCCAGCGATGGTTTGTTATAATGACTTCCCATTGTGTTGTTAGGGAAAAGTGTAAGGGTTTCAGCTGGTGATTTGAATTCCCAGTGCTGTGCAGCTATCATGGAGAAATGTTTTGAGCTTCTGCATCTGCTGTCAGCATATCAGTAGTAGTGCATATTGGGATGATGACATCTATAAAACAATATTGGATGCATTTGCGCTTCTTGTACTGCCAGAGGAGTTCATACACTGACATTTCCTGTCCTGATCCACATGAATTTTTAAACAGGCATCCCAGTATATCATTCTGTACAGCCTGTAGCTGCATGAGTTTCCCTCCATCACTGTCCTTTTTCTCTGCTCTCCAGGATTTCTGCTGTTTTTTCTCATTTTCAACTCTGCTTCTCATTACTTGTGTTGCCCACCAGGGCTGAATGAGGAATACAGCTGAGGGAGCCCCAGGTTATGCATGTGTACGGGAGGCTCTGGGGAATCAGCGGACCAGGGAGGTTGTGGGATACAGCAGCTTTGGGGAGCCCTGCCGTCTAATGCAGGATGAGAAAACACTCAGCCCAGGATGGTGCTGTGCCAGAAACTACTACATGGCTTGGTGATGCCTGGTGGGATGGCCACGGTGCAGCACAGGTGGCGTGAGTTTACTACTCTTCAGAGAGAGCCCTGAGTAACAAAGCACTGAGTAGCGTAACAATATTGAATGTGAGGTGCAGAAAGCTCCATGGTGTTGGAGTAGGTGGCATGAGCTAGGAGGGTATTGGGAATAGAAGCAGCACCTGCTCATATGCAAGCTTAGCATGTTGCTTACCAGAGAGATCTGAGAGCCCCATTCATACCCCACTAACGAAGAGTCGCCCTCTCCTGAATGGGCATTGCAGGAACTTACAGAGCTTGAGCTGTGTTTTAGAAGGTAAAAACTCTAATTTTAGCCATTTAGGATTTCATAGTGCCTCCTGTGAGAGGGACGTCTAGTCTGGTGGTGATGAACAAATCAACAACCATGAAAATACAGTGCTTTAGAGACAAGAATAATAAAATCTTGACTAAAATTCAAACAAAAAACCTAAGTGCTTAAAATTAGAACCTAAGCAAACACAGAAAGTGAGCTGGTGGTTGGATGTAGTGAGCATAGGTACAGTGTACCTGAAGAGCATGAGTTCTCTCTCGCAATTAATGAGAAGCTGTGGTGCTCCAGTGCCTTTGGACAATGAGTTGCTTTTTATTTGCATAGCTGAGTATGATCACATGTGTTGCTGACTGGAGTCAAAAAACTCTTTGACATCACTTTTCTATGACTTGGAAATGTTTAACTCAGGATTGCCTTTAAAACAAGAGAATTTATTTTGTATTTGAAAATGGAGAAGGCAAACATCGTAGGTGGTGACATTTTATATTTGTCAACATTATAGGTGTTTTAACAAACTTCCCCTGTCATTTTAGAATTCCCTGATGGAATCAATCCTGTCACAAAAGAGAGGGGTGGACCGAAAGGCCCTGAACCTACACGTTTTGGAGACTGGGAGCGAAAAGGACGTTGTATAGATTTTTAATGTATAAATGTGTCTGTATAGCTAATAAAACATTTCTAGTTGTTGAAAAATATAATGTACAGAAAAATCTTACCTGTGTTTATTGTGAAGCTGCTTGTTTCTGTCATGTTGATGATGAATTTTCTGAGAGGTGTTATGTAAATAAACATGATGGTGCAACTCAAATCTTGGAGCCATTATTTGCTCAAGGTACACCTGATCTTTAATGCTGTTTCTTTACATTATGCAGATGTAAATAGTGATCTGAAATTAAGAGTGAAATGAGATGTTTAAGGGCTTGGATTTCTTTATGTATTTCAACATCTATGTAATGTCTCAAAAGTGCTGGCAGAGTTCTGCAGTTTGTGACTTCAGATGCTGTTTATCAGAAGTGCAGCCACCTCCAAGTAGATCAGAATGGGGTTGATCTCAACCTTTTGCACAGTGGTTCATTGGTAAAAGTGACCTTAGGCAAGAACTGCCCCCTCTGTCTCTGTGAGAACAAGTTGGGGTTCCTCTTGCTTGTGGGGAGGGAAGGGAAACTTAATCTCATCTGGCTGATGGCTGTGAATGGCAGGATGGAAATGGAGGCTTAATTCTGAGAGGATCAGCTTCTGATGCTGAGTAGTGTAGGGGTGCTCTGTGCTGGTTTAAAGTACACTGCCTGTTTGTCAGTGCTATTTGCAGTATCTTTTCCTTGATGAATGGAGATGCCAGCTTGAAAACAGGCTAAATACTGCTTGGAGAAGGATACCATTGCTTTCTGACACCGCCTGGTGAAAGAGGACTGAATACATTAGAAGATCTGATATCGTAGGTCTTAAAACTAAGTTACCTGGCATTGAACTAAGTATCTTTCAGTCACTCTGAGATCAGTTCATAAATCAAGACTTTGCCCAGTTGAAAATAATGTAGCAGAGTGCAAATTTCCCACTTGTGTGGGTACTTACTAATATGATCAAGCTGTCATTATTAAAATGTGTGAACATACGCCCAATTTGTTTCTGTGCTAGTTCTTTTTGATAGCCTAAACAAATGGATCTTCTCCAGTCTTCAGCTGTAAATGTTTTCTTCATCCCTTTGTCTTTCCTTCCTAGTGTTTTGCAGATTTTTCAACCTCTTTTACTGTACATGCTCCAGCTGATATATTCACAGTTCCTATTAGCTGGTTTTGCCACAGTACCACAGTGGGCATTAAAGCTGCATACATTTCCTGGAGAGCCCGGGACCACTTCCCTTTCTATGACCCACGTTTCTTTTCCCTATATGTACTTTTTCCCTTTTGCTGTGCCAAAGCAAGTTGTATCTAAATTGAAAGACAGCTTTACTTCGTGGTGTCTGTTCTGCATTGCTCTGGCTATGTGTAGGCAGGCATGGCTTTGTTCTGCTTTGCCTTTTGCATTATTTTATTAGAGCATTAGGGTGTGTTAGTCCTATCACAGATGTGTACGAACTCCCTAGAACTCACTCAACTTGCAGCCAGTGGGGGAGCTCCCCACTGAAATCTACCTTGTTTGTATACCTGATGTGTGTTTTATCAACATAGTATTGTCCTGGTTGCAAGTCAAGATGTTTGTCTCACTGCAGCGATGCTCTACTAAAGTATTAAGACTGTTCAGTGAGGCTTATCAACCAAGTACCTCGCTGAAGAGCAAAATGAGGTTTACTAAAGCCTGTTTTCCATACGAGATGGTAACTGGTGGTGATTACATTTTGAACCTTTAATCTTCTACAAATTTAAATTCTGCAGCATGGTTTGGATGGTGTGTTTATTTGACCAGAGTTGGTCTGTTTTCCTGCCAAAGCCATTTTAGTTCCTCTTCGGTAGTGTAATAGTTACAATTTCACAAAATCTGTTGTCATTTTCATTTATCTCAATATGTGATGGGTCAGCTGTCTTTAAACCTTAATATATACAGTTCATTAAAATGCTGCTAGTAATGCTTTGCCTCTTCACTTGCTGGTGGGTTGGAAAATGCTTCATCACACAACACGCTATGTTTTTAAACAGGAAGCAGAACTTTTAATTGGAAACTTCTGCCTTTTCTGCATCATTATTAACAGGCAGAACATCTTAACTGGGGAAGAGGCAGTAATGCTAACACAGCTATTGTGGTTTTGAATTCTGAATCTGACTCTCCTCATCTACGGATGGTTGCATGAGTTCTTGCCAGGTTCTCACCTTCCAAGCATACACTGTAAACCTTTACCTACCTCAACTTCCTCACATTCCTGGTTTTCAGTTCGAGTTGCTTCCTTCAGCACGGACAGCAGCTGCAGAATTGCACCTGTTTAAATTAGCACATAAAGGACCGGCCTCACTTTTCCTTGCTTTCCTTTATGTTCCAGTTAGTTCCCTCCCACCTCCACCTGCTTTGTGATTAAGGAAAGACCTGAGTGCTGTCCAGGCCCCTCCGTATCTGCAGATGCCTGCCTCTCAGCACTCCTGGCACACCCTCCCATCCAAGGAGGATATGGGATTTGAAAGTTACTTCTCAGTGCTGTCTGTACCAGCGAGAGTGCCTCAGAAAGGGAGGGGTCTTGCTTCCTTTCTCAGAATAAGAAGGCCCTTGCTATCAGTGTTGTGAATAGCTGTCAGGGAGTCTGTGCTCAGGAAATGGAGGATACTGCTTCAATCTTGAGGAGCTTCAGGCCCTCGTTCCTGGCCAGTGCCAGTAACCACCAAGTATTTGTTTCATTTGTTTAGGGAATGTGTCAGGAAGAGATAAGAAACTGAGCTTTTGGGCAAAATAACACATAACCAGCAAAGGGGAAGCCAAGGCTCCTTTCTATGTGCTCTGTCAGTCCAGCATTACCAAACAGAGCAGCCCTAGGCTCTGGTCATGATTAAGTCTAAAATAACATCCCACAAAATCACTTGTCCTACCTGTCAAAGCCAGTCATGGTTTGAAGGTTTGAATGCAACAGCCAACACAAGGATAGGGCATGAACAGTTGTCTCTGCATCATCTGCCAATGCAAAAGCACTCCAGCATGTTTTAAGTGCTGCCTTCCTCCTCTTCCCAGATGATTAATGTTAGTGATTCAGTGGGATACAGCATTAGGCTACAACAATGGCTTATGGCACTAGCCATTAGATTGGCCACAGCAATGTTTTTATCATAAACACTGATTGAATCTATTTTTGTAGCTCTCTGTTGGTATAAACAGTGCAAAGCAACAGGGGTTGTATCTGCTTGCTGTTACATTTTTGGGAGACAAAGGAAAGTTGTTCTGCCAGCATGAGCAGATTCTGGGAGTACTGGAGGATGCTTTTGCTGCTCCCTTCTGGTTTCTTTACCGAAAGCTGCATTTCTGCAGGAGGTTTTCTGTTTTAAAGTTTAACTTGTTTCTGCTAGTTTGCATAGATACATCTGGCACATTATTAAAATGACAAAGCCTTTATTGTTTGAAGGAATTGCTCTGTGATTACCTTATTACAAAATACATAAAGTTACACTCTACAGTTAATGTTTGCTTTATATTGCCTTGTTTGGAAAGTACATATTTCAGTGCTGATTTTACTGAGTTATAGCGCAGGGTTTATTGTCTAGTGAATCAGTAAAATTACCCTTTATGGCAGCAGATGTTTGTAAAGAACTGTAGAATGTTGTTATAAAACTTTACTGCTTTTTCAGTTGACTGCAAGAAATGATCACAGATTTGAGCGATCTGTAGTGATGGCTGTTACATGCCTTGTCATGACACTTTGTTTGGTATAGTCATTTAAAAAGGACCACAACAGTTTGTTCTGTAGTGTCAGGAAAATAGTAAAACTGTATTCATTCATAAGAGAGGAGGACTTGGAAGTCCTGTGGGTTTTGTCATTGTTCATTAATCGCTAACATACCAAAGCGTAAGGAAATGGTTTGAGGTGTGTTTCTGTGTGCTAATGGCGATCAAAACCATCAAAACTTGTGGCTGCTTTCATGCTGTTGTAACATGCAATATGACAATACTTCTGTGTAGCTGGTGGTTGGTGTTTCACGTCAGATCAGCTGAGATGTGCAGTCTGCATTGTAATGTGGGCACGGCATTTCTCACTCTCACATTGTGGTAGTGTGTAAGCTTCCCAAGGACTTCTGCTGCAGAAAGGGTGGCACAGTAGAAACTGGAGCATCATTATAAAATCAGGTTTTGGCAAATCCTGAGAAAAGATCTCTATTTAAAACAAGTGCTGTGAAGAGCAGAACTAAAGAAGTCTTGTTGCTTGTGAATGTCCTACATCTCCTGTAGCTCCATTGTCTTCCTCCATGTTTCTCTGTTGATTGACATTGTCCCCACCAGGCAGGAGAGGGAGCATCTTTCTGCCCATCCTTCCCTGCCTGGGGCATTACTTGTTCCTCATTCCCAGCTATGGTAACTTAATTACCTTGGAAACTACTCTCCTTGACACCTTTTCAGAACAGTTCAGAAATTACTCACTGGCTTCTGGAGTCGTGGGGCAGTGCAGATATTGGCTTCCCATCCTCTGGAAACCAAGCTGATGGATAACTTTGACCATATATATTTTCTTCAGAAATATTCAGCATCTCTCTGCATTTTTCTACTGCGAGCAGAGCTTATTTTTTCCCTTCAGAGAACATCCAGAATGCCAGTTAAAGCTTAGAGCAGTAGGACTTTGACATCATTTTCCAGGCATTAAATCTCCCAGTCAGCTGTAGTCTCTGGCCTGTAAAATACCATATATTTTAGTGTTGCCATTTTTAGGATGAGAGTGTTCAAATAAGTTCTTTAAGGTTCATACTTAACAAATAAATTTATAATAAACTGACATACCTGGCCATCAAAACACCATTATAATTTTCAAATGTTAGTCTCTGACAGAATTAGGTGAGCTATGAAGTGAACTGGTGTTCAGGTTAATTCTAATAATGAGCTCTTGTTTATACTGGGACTCTCTCCTAATCAGCTCTTTTAAACCAAAGTGACTTATGTAGCCATCTGTGCTTGCTTCATAATCAGTTGCAGTGGAGCCTCTGCAGAGTAGTCCATCTTAGCACAGGGAGATGAATTCTTCATTACAGATGGTGAATGGGAGGAAGTTTTAAGTGCATCCCCTCCGTTAAACTTCAGAGGCTGCCTAAACAGCTGTCCTAAGCAAGATGCCATTGGAGAGCTGTCAGCTTTGTGGTGGGGACAGCAGAGAAACTGGGGTGTTCGTGACACCGAGGTGGGAATTGCCCACTGCCTTCTCCAAAGGAGGGAGGGTTGCAGCGAGGCAGCGGGACCTGCAGCTCTGCTGCTGCCTGTGCCCATCCCCAGCACTGCTGGCAGGAAAGGGGGCGCTCAGGGCCAGCTCTTGAGCACCTTGCCTTAAAACGAGAGGAAGAACGCTGAAGCAGGGACTTTCCTTCTGCCTGTCTACCTCCCAAACAAATGTCTACCACATGATACAGCCAGGAGGGTAACACTGAATATATTTATACTGGGTGACAGCAAGTATCTCAAACCTAGGAACTGATGGGGATTTTTTTCCCCAGTAGGGAGGGGATGGAGTGTCAACCTAAAAACTAAGCTGCCTTCATCTGCTGTGCTGCTGAAAGAGGGGGGGCCAAGATCAAGATAAAACTGGCAGACTAGGAAGAAAAATACATATTTGCTCAGCAAAGCCTTGGTCTGTGTGACTTCCCTGCGAGAGGTCAAAGAACAAAGGGTGATGTGTTTACCATTTGAAAGCTGGCGAAAAATTTACCATCACCCAGAAGATACATAAGCAAATGTTGCTTGGCTCAGGGAACATCCTGCTTTTAGCCTACTCTTTACCTCAGGGCTTTCACTTGCAAGTTCTACAGTATGTCTGTGATCTTCATACAGGGGTTTTTTTGCAGATGTTTTCCTTGCGATAGGACTGCAGTATAATGACAGGTGAGTGTTTGGTCTGGCAGGCCTCTTATATCATCCTCCCTGTATACGGTGAAGTAATTTTTTCTGCCTGGTAATGACAGCTACAGCTCTTTTATTATGAAATTTCATGCTATTTAATCCTGCTTTTGATTTTTGCCATCCTTGCAGCCATTTCTGTATAGGTACCTGTAGTTCCTCTCGAGTAGCAACAGGATACCTCATAAAATTAATCCGACATTGCAGGTGCTTCTCCCTCTTCCTCCTTTCTCTAAAGGAAATCTTCTGATAATTTGTATTTTGTATGTGAAGATCTTGTTGATAGTCAAAGAAAAGGATAAGCCCATGGACTGGAACTCCTCCAGTTGCTTGTGACTCTCAAATACAAATTCCTCATTAAAATGTAGCTTTTGTGGGAAGTCAAGGATGCAAAGAGGGAGAGAGAGATGCCTCTGAGAAATAGCACCAGTCTTCCTGAAAGTTTTACACATAAACACAAGCTCATGTTAAGGTCTCCTTGCACTGGCCATTGATGAAGGTCCCAAACAAGCTGGGACAAGGGCAGTGCCAAAACAAGTCACTTGGGTGGATTTACAGGTTGATGGCTCTGTTTGCAGAGAAATCCCATGCTAAGGTAGGACAGTCTTGGCTAGCAGTACATTGTAGGGTCACCTGTGAATGACTACTGTGGGCAAAACCATCTCTTAAAAGGCACAGTTTTGAGTAAATGGGCTTCACAGAACAAAGTGATACCATTAGTGATGCACATGGCTGCTGTGTGTGATGTCAGCTCAGGCGCTGGGCCTGACCGTCTCATCTGAGTACCAACACAGTTGTTTGTAATAGTGCAAGGTCGCTCTCTGGGCCAGGCAGCTATCTTCTGGTCCTGTACATCGTCTCCGTTTCGAAGACAAGCTGGGCTTTATTCCTTCTTAAGAACAGGGGTCTGGAAGAGGTCCCTCCACCTGCTGCTGTTTTGGGGGTGCTGCATCCTCTTGTCCCCTCACCCAGGAAGACTTCTGGTGGGAGAGCACCTGGCAGGGAGAGGTTGAATGACACACTGAAAAGGAGAAGGGGACAAGCAAATGCGCATTGGGCAGCTGATGACCAGATGGTCGGTCCTTCCTGTAAAACCATTTGTGGTGAAGTGTGGATAATACCTGTTTCACTGCAGCAGCTGCTGCTGCGCTCCGCAAGCCCTGTGCAAGGAGGAAAACCAGAATGCTCTGAGCAGGATTCGCACAGTGATTGTGGTGCTTTGTAGGAAGCCAGAAAGCGCAACAGTGCAGGGATGCAAAGGAAGAACAAGTATTTTATTTCCCATATTATTGGAAATAAGGAGAGGAGAATGAGATGACCAGAGCATTAAGGCAGCATGCTGTGTCATCATACCTATCTGAGGTAACCCTCTGTGTGGATATACTACTCACTTGTTACATGCTGCATTGTATCTTAAAATGCCTCATTGTTTGATTTCTACCCCCCAGCCTCATTCACTTTGGAGCTGAAGAGAAAATAAATGTTTTGATTGTTGCCACCAAAGGCAGGTGAGTTGTGCCAGGGCAGGAGAAGTGGATGCTGGGGAGGGGATCACAACCATTCATCTATGGAGTGTTGTGGGAGCACCTCTGCTGCCTGCCTTATGTGTACTGGGTAGAATCCATGAGCACTTCCAGCAGTGCTGGGCTGATCTTTGCCAGCGGATGCTGGCTGAAGGCATGGAGAGCAGAGGAGGGGAGGGAGGCAGGAGCAGGCATCCCTGCCTCAAGTGGCACCAGGCCTGGGCTGAAATGCTGCAGGGGCTGTACCCTGAACCCCAGCAAACAGTTCCTTGTTTCTGGAGTCCTTGCTTCCATTGCTGAATGCCAAGGTCACTGTAACATCTATTAGAGAGTTTCCCCTAGCCTTTTCCTTGTTGTATGAAGTCCTGCAACCCTGCACTGGCAGGGATTCCTTCAGTTCAGAAACCCACAGCTGACCAAGGAGGTCGCTCAGCATGTTCATCAGCAGTGTCACTGGTGGCATACACCAAGAACAAGTTCTGTGGGAAGCCAGTCAACTTAGTTCCCTGTGAACAATAAGACGTGCACAGTATGACCTAGCATACCACTAAATGTCACAGCTCCCTCCATGCTGCATCCAATTCCCAGTACATCATCCTTTCCCACCGCCTCACTCCCAGGACTTTCAGCTCTCTTCCCCCATTCCTTGGCTGTGGGCTAGGCAAACCCAAGCAGCTGCAGACAGGATGACTCACTGATCTTTCCTGCTATCCCATGTGGGTGCAGGATAGCTGAGTCTGGCTTAGCTGCACCCCCACATTGTCCTCTCCAGGGGCAGGCAAGCTGCAAAGCCCAGGTTGTCCCTGGAACTACCCGAGCACTCGCGGCTACCCTACAGACAGTGGGCTGGACTCCTGCATCTCTGGTACTCTGGACAAGTCCCAGATATGTGGTTCTCCTCTCTGGTTGTCTCTGGCAAAACAAAATGTGTATGTTGTTCCTCTCCATGGAAAGAAATTCTTTCAATAACAGCCTCCCACACAGAGCTGAAACTGAAACTGTAACCATTTCTAGAACATGAATATCTACATACATTTGCATATCCTTATTCACGTATATATACACACCTAATCCAGAAGTGTTGGCAGATTTCATCCTTGTGTGGGAGGTTGGCACTTCATGAAACCATTTCACAATGTATCAAAGCTCGATAGCTAACAATTATAATAAAATATTTTAGGTAGTAAAACTAAAGCTAATGGTGTTTCTTCTGCAGCTTGGTTATCTATAAATATTTGATACCATTTTAAAAACTGAAAAAGTTACAGGGAGATTAAGACTGGTGTACAAGGCAAATACTGATGTCTCGTCTCCACTGCTGAGGAGTTGTTTAGCCAATGCATATTTTTGTGGTCATGAGAGAGGAAACCTGATGGCAAACACCAAACTAACAGAACAATATCTGCTGGAACTATATTCCAGATCCAGCTCAGCCGGTATCCTTCACCTGACAGAGGTATCCCCCAGTGCTCTGGGAGAGGTCCCCCCATGGCAGACATTGTAGAGCAGCGGTGGAGTCATTTTCTGTTTCAGTCTTCCATTACCTCTTACCATAGTCTTATAGTTCAGCTATTTTGCATGCATAGTTTTCAGTACAATTCTTTCAGGTCCCATGTTGCTCAAGCAGTCCTATGTCTGGTACACAAAATTGACTGGCAAGCAACAGAAGTAATATACAAAAGTATAAATTGCCTTTGGAAACAATTTAAGGAGCATTTGATCAGCTTCTCCTTTGAAATGGCTTCTTACAGTTCATTTTTTAATGCTTTAATTAGTCAAGAGGACTTGTAGTGTTTCCTGAGTGGAAAAACATAGTAAATAAAAAGATGAACATCATTAAGGAAAGTAGTATAGAGAACAAATTTGAGATACCAGAGACCTGAGTAAGTAACATTTCTACTGACTTTAATGTACGTGAGGCTGGATCCAATGTGAATAAAGAGTTTGGTTTTTTCCCTTATTGTAAATACTCAACTGAAGCCACAAGAAGGCATGTCAGGTATTTCTTACTTGCAATAACAGCATCATTCTCTGCCTCTGCTCCTCTCTGGTGGCACCCCACCTGGAGTTCTGCATTCAGCTCTGAGGCTTCCAACACAAGAGGGACATGGACCTTTTGGAGCAAGTCCAGAAGAAGGCCATGAAGATGGTCAGAGAACTGGAGCACCTCTCCGATGGAGACATGCTGAGAGAGTTGGACTTGTTCAGCCTGGAGAAGACAAGACTCTGGAGAGATCTTAGAGCAGCTTCCAGTACCTAAGGGGGGGCTACAGTAAGTCTGGGGAGAGACTTTTTACAAGGACATGTAGGAAATGGCTTTAAATTGAAAGAGGGGAGATTTAGATTAGACATTGGGAAAAAAATCTTCCCTGTGAGGGTGGTGAGACAGTGGCACAAGTTGCCCAGAGAAGCTGTGGCTGCCCCATTCCTGGCAGTGTTCAAGGCCAGGTTGGACGGGGCTTGGAGCAATCTGGTCTAGTGGAAGGTGTCCCTGCGTGTGGCAAGAGGTTGGAACTGGGTGACCTTCAAGGTCCCTCCCAACCCAAATCATTCTGTGATTCTGGATTATGCTTCAGAATAACGGCAGAACAAAATTTGAAATGCTGTCAGATGCAGTTTTACTTCTCAGTGGAGAAGTGGAGATTATTTTAGTCTTTTGCTTAGTTCTGTTTTAAAAATTTACATTCATAGGTGAATCCTCACTTTTATGTATTCACATGGCATTCAATCCCACTCATATATGTTATTTAATTACCTTTATTTCCACCTGAAATTCTAATATGAACAGCATCTTATTTCCATGATCTTTATCCTGCCTTTTAATTGCATGTGCCAAAACAGGAGGTTGGAGGACTACGTCATTCTCAGTTTCTCCCCAGGTATGCACAGTCTGCTGTATCCCTGACATTAAAAAACAATTCCTGGCCAAATATAGCCCATACCTTAACCTTCTTATCCAGCTGTGGCTTGTGCAGCTTCTGCACCTCGTGGTGTTTGCTCTTCTACTTACAGGCTGCACTGCTGTTCTGCAATGGTCACAGAACTGGCACAAAACACTTCCTTTGCATCATCAGGAAACAACGGGAAGAATTTGGAAAATACATAGAGCCTAACACTCAGTAATCAGTGTTCTCTCTGTTAATAAATGGTCAGCAGTGCTCTGAGGGCTGGGTCATGTGAACTCAACCACGTCAGTTGTGGCTGAAGTGTGTTTAAGAACAAGAAAAACAAGAAGAGTGCAAGAACAATGAAGATTGTGTGAATGAATTTATTCAGGCTGGCTGATGGTGGGGAATGCCAGTTACTGCATGGGGTAAGGAACGAGGGTCTGCAGAGGACAGGAGTAATTAAAACTTTCTTTGGAAATATACCTGTACATATACCCCTTGCTTACTACTTGAATAAGAATCAACTCAAATGTGATACATTCACATCTCTAAAAAGTGCTCAGATGTTAGTACTCTTGGATATTTTTAAAGGCAAAGAACCATGGATACTGTGTACAGCCTGAGAAAGCAGCAGGGCAAAGACTAAGTCCCACCCTGCTCCACAGGCTGCTGACACTGTTGCTTGGGGGTTCATTGTTGCATTAACATGTGTTTGTCCACTCCCTCAAAGAAGAAATAGGTATCAACAGAATTATGGATAAATTATTGATCTAAAACCTTACAGTAAGAAGATAGGATTATTTTCACTGGACACACAAGACAATGCAAGCTGAAATACATGAGGAGAATCAATGCTGAATGCAAGCATCCTGGCCAGGGTGACACATAACATCGTAACATGGAGACATCTGAACAACATCTGAGGTAACGCTGTTCAGAAGGGTGCAGATCAACTTGTTTGTGAAGAAAAGAGTTTGTTTCTCAGGCTTCCTAACAGTCAACATCTACAGGCTGCTCCATGCAGCACAGGGGCATGCCTCAGCTACAGCTGTGTAACAGGGCTCCACTAAAGGCCACACAGGAGGAGAGAGAAAGAGAAGATTGGTAGGCTGCATCTACCAGTTAGACTGAGGTGAAAACAAGCACAGCACCCTCAGCACATGACCTCTTGGAAGCATCAACTAAACCCCTGATTTTGACACACTGAACCACGGTGTCACATTCACAGACTGTCTACAGTGTGTGGTTACTTTGTTAGTTCCTGCGTGTCTTCCTCAGATCAAGTATGTCTGTGACCGATATAAAACTTGGAAGGAGCAATCTCACCAGTGCTTGTGCAACACCTTAGGCTCTGTTAACCACTTAAAAGCAGTTCTTTTCTGTAACATTCAGTATTATTCCTCAGTTTTTACCCTTCCTGGGGATTTTTTTTTTTTTGTCAGGGTTTCATTAACATTAAAATCAGGTTAGTTGCAGGAGGAGAAATCCCATTTCTTAACTTCAATTGACTCTCAAGTTCTTCACTTTTCTAATAAAAGCCAATATTTTTTCATAGTGTTTATGATAAAAGTATAGTTTAAACAAGTTGCAGCTATGGAAGTTCTTTATCTTCAAAAGTTTAAAGGAAAAGAGTAGGACTCCTCACAGCAATCGTGCCCTAATAACAAAGCACAGGCAGATTTCACCTGATATATTTTAAAATATTCTCCTTCATCCACATTTGTATTAATAAAAATAAAAATGCTTTAAAAAAAATTGTTCTCTCTTTTTAGTTAACCAACAAGGGGCTTTTCCATAGCAAACAATACGACCTTTTGGTTCTGACCATAGATGAAAGGTGGTAGCTTTAGGACTAAACCAGAAGGCTCTGCTCCACACATATAAGCACCACAGCCAAAGCAAGACATAGAGAACCCAGCATGCATTTTCAAGCCCAGCTAGCACCCACTGACTGGGTACCTCTCAGCTGCAGACCAGCTCTGCAGTCTCTGCAGCTTTCACCCTGCTTTTTTGAGAGCAAGAACTTCTCAAGCATCATGAAATACTGCTGGCTGCAAGCTGGCTGTAGCTGTAGCTCAGGGTCCTGCAGCCTCCTCCCAGGTACTCACCTCAGAACACTGGGGACTCAGGAAGCATCTTTCCATAGATCCCCTGCCTAAGCTGGCCAAACTGTTCACATGTCATCAGGCAGCCGCAGCATTTTTCTGTCATCTGCTATTTCTCATGCTGATGGCTCCTGTAGTATTTCTCACAAAGTAATCTGGAAATATGTGCCAGGCTACTTCCTAATGCCCCCAAACTGATTTGTGAATTACGTACATCAAGAGTACCAGTCTTCAACTTAGGCTGTGTGGAATACAAGTCACATGGGGTATTTTAGTCTCAGCCAGAAATGGGATCAGAAGTGAGAAAACCTGCTTACCTTCCAGTTCTGCTCTCCTGATTCTTGGGAGCTTCAGTTCTAAGATGAGTCATTGAGTCATGCCAGAAATACTCCTATATCTGAGACAGGTTGATGCCATAAAGGGTCAGCAAAGGAAGACAGAGGCTCTCAAGTGCAAGAAGCATTTCCTTGAATCTCGAAATTCATGCTGTCTTCTAAAAATAAATACAAAGCAGATAGGTATTTCAGGAAGAACAAATAAGCACAAGGCAAATGCCTTCAACTTAATCCAAGCTCCAAGGATGCAGAACTTGATAATAAAGTGTTCTTTAGCAGCACTTCACCTCTATAAATCTGGTAACACTTTAAAAGGAGGTCAGTACATTATCTTCATCATATAGATGGAGAAACTAAGCTGTTGGTGGTGAAATGACTTGGCTAAAAGCAGACCTGGGTCTGTCTGTATTGGATTAGACCCATTTCATCCAAAGATGCTGTCTCTGAGTACAACCCCCAGACACATCACAGGGAAGTACAAGAAAACCCACGTTACGTGTGTTGACAAATCTTCCTGTTCACAATATTGTGCAGAGCAGAAGTGAGGTAAATTAAATCTTCAGTCAAAGAAGAAAGCCATAGGAAATTATTTTTTCTATGATACTAGTAGGTTTTGGAAATGCGTGATATGAAAACACGGAAAAAGCTCAGAATTGTATTTTTAATTACACCATCAATGTCAAGCAAACTACCCTGAAATTAGGGAGCAATTTAAACAGTTTAGTTAATCTGTCATGTCTCTGAACATTGCAACTCAAAGGACATGAAACCTTGTCTTTAACTATTGGAATGCAAAGCAAGTAAGTTATGGAGAATATAAAGAACTCTCATAACACTGACATGGATAAATTTCAGTACTGGTGTGACACCCAGGGCCATTTGCTGCTTGGTTATCTGAGGCACAGCTGAAACCAGAGGAAGTTATGAATTGCTTGCAGTGTTTTGACTTACAGAAGACTTCAGAATCATCCGGGAAACAGAAAAACTTACTGCTGATCTTGTGAGATTTCATGGAAAATAGACCCAAATTAGAAATGAAACTAAATATTTGTTAACATCCAAGTCTAATCAAACTGGAAAGCACCATCTCCCATGGAAACAGCAGAGGAAGACACCTGTCCAACAACAGCTTTCCATCAGATGCAATTTTAATCCATTTCTATTCTGTCTTTTTCCAATGGTTAAAAGTCACACAATGATCCTAAGTCTCCCCTGAGTGAGTTGAAACGATTCAGCAGTACATTTTAGCACTCCAATTAGGATTTCTACTGGATAGCGTGGCAAAAGGATGACAGTTTACATGGCTGCATGATTATCAGAATTTAAGAACTGTTGCACTTAGGTAAAATCTCAGATTTGTTAGAACTATAAATTTGTATTACTTGACATAACTTAAAAGTGTATTATTTTATATACTTTTGTATATTATATTTTATGTCTTTGTTAAAAATAGATACTATTTACTTTTATATTTATATATTAATATATATCATTTTATGCTCATTTTATTTTAATCTTAACTATTGTTAATTTGCTTGTTAAGAGCCTTCTGCTAAGGCTGACCACTTGTACTGCATAACAAAGAGAACACCAAAAGTCTTACCTGGCACTGAAGAGCTGTCATGGACACAAATACTCTATGCATGGATTAAGACAATTAAAGACAATTCCCATCAGGCTAGAAGATAGCACATGATAGTCCTATCAGACTGTACTGTGAGTCTTATCCAACTATATGTATAGAATACAGTGCGATAATGGCTGGCCTTGGGTGTGTCATTTAAACTAAAGGTTCAGGGATGATCTCAAATCAAAGTTGTAAGGGCAACATTGCGCATTACAAATTATCCCCCAGAGGGCAAGCAATTATGTCCTGCCTAGCACTAGTCTATTATTAAATGTGCTGTATTAACATAACAATCTTTAAATAGAGCTTTGAGTCTAAATTATCCTAACACACAATATCTTCAAGTGTTGCACTGACACTGTATTTCAATAGTCTGCATGTCCCAGGTCATTCCTAAAACTGGCCCAATTAAGAAAGGCCCTTTCTGCACAGCATCCAAGAACATGAGGAGGGTCTAAGCAACACACTAAAGCTGTTAGTATGAAGGAGCAGTTGTTACAGCATCACAACAGATGCCATAGGAAATGTAGAAACCACTCCATATGATAGGATCTGACCTGCACTTTGTGAGGAACAGAAAGGGTAAATTCTGTTGCTCCACAACCTTAATCTGCCTTCACAGAAACACATACTGAAATGAAAAACCCAGTGCTTATTAAACAATGGTCCTCTTTAGTAGACTCAACATCACATAGAAGACACACTTCTTTTTTTTACATTCTTTTCTTTTAGCCTAGAATCTCTCTGCTTTCTTTTTTCTTCAGTGTTTTAGAGTACTCAATAACATGCTTCATATATTTCAGGAGACAAATCCCTCCTCCAAAGACCTGCAGCGCATACTGGAACTCTGCATGGGAGTAAAGCCTGAAAATAGACCATCTTTCTGCACTTCAAAGGCCCTAGAATAGTCTGGCAGATTAGTGACATTAAAGAACACAAAATGAAGATTCAAAAGCAAGCAATGAGTTATGGAAAATAGATCTTGATTTTGCAGTCGAACAAATGGACATTGTGTAGATCGTTTTTAGAAATAAGACACGGGACTTGTTTTGGAGGCTCTACAGTCTTTTTTATTACTAAAAACTGCCTTTAAATCTGCCCTGTGATTTTTATATGCTGAATCTTTTCCTTTTTATCTCTGTAACTTCTGCACCCGTTATCTAGCTGGATTTTTTTGTTCTATAACTTTCTCCTTTCACTTGCTAAATAAAAAGATCATTTTATATTCAGTAAATTAAACACATGGCTTTCAATGTACTTGGAACAGTACACTTTTCTCCAAGAAAAAGAAATATGGTTTCTAGATAAAACATCAGAATGAAATAAACATGGAAACAATGTGCCTTTGGGGAATAAGAAAACACTCCATGGCTGATTGTTTGCCAGAATGTTGAACATGGACTCATCAGATTGATTAAGTCTGTCAT